AGCATTCCTACAAATATAAACAAAAAACAAAAAATACACCCAAATGCAGTTTACACCAGTCGAATCTTTACCCCAAATGACAAAGGTACTTTTTTATTTCTAAATCTAAATCACATTGATATTCCATATTAACTAACATGTATATTGAATGTTTAGACGCTACAAGTGTCAGTTTGTATGTTCCAAATGATCCGAATGAAGGTAAAGTCACCATCTTTTCAAAAAATACTATATCGATATCAGGTCAATATTAAAACACTTGTTTGTGTACAACTCTAGCATATGTAACTACTGAATTCGATATAGATATTGATGCCGAATCTGCAAACAAAGAAAATGAAGGTAAAATTTATTAGCCATGCCACGACTGTACACAGTAATGATTATTAGTTGATTATTTTGCTTATACTTTTTATCTATTTTTTTTTATAATGTCAGCATATGTCCCACGAGAGTCTGATATTGATATTAAGAGTGATGAAAAAGACGCCGAAAGAAAAAAATATATAGCGATAGCCGAAAGTCCAAATTCGATCTCAAAAAAAGTTAACTATTCAATACAATGCAACGTAAGTTTTTTATACTGACAGAATCTCAACGTTTTATAATATTTTATTCTATTTTTGATTTTTAACAAAAACTATCATCAACGAACAGTAAACGTCTTATCGAAAACGTGTCGGAAGAATCAAATAAACGAAAAAACTTTCATTGCTTTATCAAGCCAATATTAAACTACGTATGATGGTCGCAGTAAAATTTTATAAAAATATTTTATATGATATTACATATAATTATTCACAAAAGCTTTTAAGCAAGTTGTAAATTTTGTAAATACACTAATTTTCTTAGCATATACTTCTAAAGAATTGATATAAATATCGATATCGACTTGAGCATTTAAACAAAATATATTAAATAGCCCGTTCCATGATGCTAATACATAACGATAACGACGATATAAAAATTTATACTTTCGCTATTATCAAGTTGCACGACGACCAAAACTGATTATACAGATGTAAAAATCATCTCGTATATAACAAAAAAACAATGTCATCTTCGTTACTTTCTTGATTCTAGTGCAATCAGAGTTGGACAGTGACCTCAAAGTGAACCTTAAGTGGCTCACTAAATGACCTTGTTTTATTATTAAAATTAAGTGATTAGTGACCAAATGTCACTTGTCAAATAGCAAATGACCTAGTTTTATCCATCACTGAGTGCAATACTACATACTATATTTTAAATATCCAATATAACTCTTGAAATATAAATACACGGTAATAATTAGTAGAATGTTTAAGAACACGGGTTGGCCAGAAAATTCAGCTCTTATAGAGTTTTTTTATAACGAGGTCATTTTTAAGATGACTATTAATTCTTTTGTTCTCAAATTGTGTTTATAAGAGGTTTGACTGTGATTTAAAAATTAAAATCGACTACGAATTATAAGTTTATTATCATTATTCATTTTGCGAAAATTATAATTCAAATCAAAATATAAAAAATATAACTTCAATCATACTTTTACGATTAGCGATACCTTTTCGATTAGTGTTAGTATTAGGTAATCACAAAAAGTATATCGATATGTGATCACCGAAAATAACGAGTGAACAAACACTGTAAAAAATCGATTTTTGATCAATAATCAACTTGTTCACCGTGTCAAAATCTATGACATGTAGAGTTTGAGACATTTCGGACACAAATAGTCATTTAAAAGCTTCGAAAGATCAACCGAATTCTCCAAAGCTTCGTTTGTGAACTCTGGATGAAAATTGACCACAATGTCAAGTTTTAACACGGTAAATGTTAATAATAGAAATATTTGTTATATTTTAGTCTAGTTAATCTCAAAATTATCAAAACATTCTACGAATTGAGTTATCGTAATTTTCTGAATTTAATCGGTCTTTTAGGATCGGGTCCCATCCGATCCTTTCAAGGACAGTTCAAATTCGATCCTTAAATCATGTGATTTTATCATAGGACTGCGATCCCAGGATTGAGTCCTTTTATAAGTTTGGGATTTACCATTGTCTATTAATAACTTACGAAACAAAGAATCATAATAAACGTAGCATGCTTTAAATAAGTTAAACTCTCAACACAACTCAATTATTTAAATAACATAGGCAGTATAAAGAAATAGAATAAATATTTAAAGAAATAACCTTTATTACTTTCACGGTTTATTGTTATCTATATGATTGTGATTTATATTATATAGTATATAGCTTAATTAATTTGATTGGGTGGACTGTTAGTGTTGTCACTTGGACTCAAATACAGCAATTTAATTAGTCGGGACACATATCCTGACCAATTAAATTGCTGGATTGGTGTCCAAGCAATAACATTGGATGGACTTATTTGAAGAATTATAATTCAGGATCTGATAAAGCTAACGATTTTATGAATTAAGTCCAGGACGGTCTCTTTCGGTCCTGGGACCGAACCGGACTGGACATATTATTTAACATCACTATCGTTAAATCAACGTGCATAACCAATACGTACTAGATTGTGATTGTTGAACTGAATTCAATACGACCTTTTTTTAAAAAAATATCTAAATACGAATGCCTGAAATACTCAATTGAATGAGTTACAAACTAAAGAAAATTTAAACGATAAAAATGCAACGATATCGATATAAAATATATCGAAAAATAAAAAATATAAATTATTAACTTATATTCAAGATAATTGATGTAGAATGCTTTGCTAAATACATGTATAACGATAGCGATAGTGCGTTACCTATAAACCACAAAAATATCATGTGACTTTAAATGGCTATAACTCCTTACTAAAAGAGGAATGTGCGAAAATAAACTGATAAATTAATGTTCAGGAACTATGCTTTATTTCTATCTGTCTGTTTACTTTTTTACTTTCATAGAAATTTCAAGTTATAAAGTTTGAAAATATACAAACTTATATGATCTAAGAATGATGCCATTCGATTAGACAGAATTTCCGAAATATGGGAAGACTTATCTATTGGACTAAAATCTACATACCAACGTCTCATCAAATTTAAATTCGTCTGCCTCACTAGTGTAATCTTCAATCTGAGACAGTTTATCCAAACGATATTCTACTCGATCATCATATTCAAAAGGCACTGACGTATCCGAGAGTTCTAACAAACTTGAATTCGACACACTTTTATGACCACACTCTGACCATTGTTGGCTGTTGTCTCACCCCTGTTACAACTATAATCAGAGACAATTGCAGATTTATTACGACCCCACTGAAGAAAACCATCCCCCAAAGTTTGGTCAGTAAGTAAACAATAAGAAGAAATATCTAGTGAAGAAGGCAAAAGCTATATTAGTTATGGCCCAATGGTCGTACTTATTATATAACAACCAAGCAATTAATAACGCGTAGAAAATGGAAAAGAACAATAAATATTTAATATTGACCATAACATCGGAGTTGTCATCATGTTCCAAATCCAATATGCCGTGGCACTATCGATTTCTACGAAATGGTTTTTATGTTCGAAAATATATAACCAAACAATGTTGAAAACAGTGATTGGCCAACATAAAAACAAATTAATTGTCCAAAGCCACCACTCAAGAATTGGAAATTCAGGCAACTCAACTGGAAAACGAACCTTCCGACCATAAAGATTACCAAACACCGTTTTAACGTTCACGTTCAATGACGCATGGGTAATCTTAGCAACACGATTACCAACTTTCTCGGCGAATTCACCATCTTCAGCTCTCTTCATCTGTGCATACCAACCAGCTATGATATCCACACCAGGAAAACCTATTACGTTTAAAACGTTTGAAAGATCATGTAAACGAGCTGACTTATAACGAACCTCTAACATATCCTCATAGAATCTATTATAACCCTTATTGAATTTCTTACGCATCGAATCGTTCTTAGAAACGAGATATAAATGAATAGTTTGTTGAATCATCATAATTGTTTCTTACTTAATACCAAGCGGGTCGAATATTAATAAAAACACGTGTAAATTTTCGAAATCCTCAGTTGTCGCAACCAGGAATAACCAGATCAAATAATAAATACCGAGCAAGGAAGCTTGTGAAATAGTCATCCACCAGGTATCGGTCCATTGCCCTCACTTTTAACGAGAGATGCTTTCTGGCGAGCTTCGTTACCACTAAATACTGATGAGCTCATTGATTTAAGCTTGTTTAAATCTTGAACTTTACTATCCTCATCAGTAGTAATTGAACTACCCAATTGAATACCATTAACAATAAAGCATCATTAAACTTATACATTAATTGCTTGGGATCCACGGACGTAATTGGTGGTGTTGCTCCAACTCGTATACCAGGAACGAATGACCGGTTCGTCATCATATTTAGTTACCATTTCATTGAACACATCCTTTGACAAAATAAATCTTTCAGTATTCTCCTGATGCTCAACCAAAAGTGAATAATCTATCTCACGTTCGCCCTGATCAATTTCAGCCGAAGGTTATCGATGCCAATAGCATTGAGCCAATAGAACCAGCATGGTAAAAATTGGTAAGATATTCTTTCATTTTAGTACCTTCATATATTTGATAAGTTCCATCAGGGAGGTTGTCTACATTAATAAATATCTAAATAACTTCCTAAACGTCATAAATATTGAAACACCCGCCATTATAGTTACAACAGCTGATTTGTTGCGATACTCACTAGCAAGTAACTTAGATACTTCCATAAAGTTTACAGAATAAAATTCCGCTTTCTTATCACTGTGCATCTTCATCCAGCACTTATTACATACTCGTTTAGTCTCACTAACCAACATTGAATCTGTGAGCGGTCCCTTACAATCAGAACAAGTTAACTTAGTTGATGCATAAATAGCCCTCAACTCCTCATCATTTTATATTGGTTTGGTAAGTCCGAAAAAATCAGTAATATTATTAACAATCTTAGTTTTGATTGATTCATTATGTAGAGTAGCTAAATGAGCTGGTTTATCTACAATTACAGTTGGCTGTGTTTGTTAAGCTCTTCGATATTAACATCATCACCCTGCAAACTGGTGGCAATTTATCAGTGGTAATTTGTTTATCTTTCTTCTCAGCCTGGTAGATTGTGCGTTCCTCAATAATTGGCCAATTGTATTCAGCTTCAGTTGGGTGTACATACACCTTAACAAGCCAACCATCGCTTTGCCAATCTTTGGGAAAGATGCTAGTCCCATCTATTCCATCATTGCAACCACAAGCTTCTAGAATTTCCATAGGTAGTAACTTATCACATAATGGTAAGCGAACATGAATGATATCTTTGTTAGCGGAAGTTAACCAGAAATCAGGCCATAGTTTACGTTTCTCATTAAACTTTAATTGTCTCTTATCGTCTTTACTCAAAGGTTTAAGAAGACGTTTATATTTTTCATAATCCTCGAGTCATATCGGGCCTCTCCTTCTTAAAGTATTCAAAAAAAAGGCTCGAAAACAAACCAGTCATCGGTCATAACGTGATGTAAAAATCGATCCGTCAATGAAGTTCTCAAATGTAACAAAATGGTGTCCTTCGAATTTTTTTTAGATATCTCCTCAAAATCTTCATCAAACTCAATATTTTGTAAATTAGAAGTATGGGCCAAAAGTTGTGCAGATGAATAATCGGCAATATCAATTGGCATTTTTGATATCAACAATTTCTCCTTACCAAATCAAACTGCAAGGCCATCACGAACACGACCAATTTTACCAATCCGTTGAGCTTCCTCCGCATTAGTAACCCAACCCATCATCATTTGATAAACATTATTTTTCGGATCAAAAACTGAGTAATTTTGACGACCGGAATCGACTATTACATCAGCACGAAAAGTTATACCGACTGAAGCTGCATTGGTACAGACCTAAAAGTCCTTAATTTTCTTTGGTTCTACCGGATCGTCACCTGTATCTTCTTTGTCTTAAGCATATCATTCTCGTATGTAGGTTGTTGAGTGAGTAATTTAGAATAATATGGCCAGCACCTTACAGTAATACCCTTCGAGGCGTAAGACGGTTTAAAATGTTTTATTTTCTTAACCGTTTTCTTAATATGATTTCTGAATGTACAAAAACAACAACATTATGATAGTCCTCGAATCCGAAAACCCAAATTTTCCTCCGACAATCGCAGAAACTTTGCTTTAAGCCCGAAGTCTTTCCAACGGTAAAAGTCGAGATCATTTAAAACACGAATATCGGCGTTATGCAACATCTGCATTTAGTTTCAGCACTATCTTTTAATGTCTTAAAAGCATCAATGTTCTGATGCACAAATTCAACAATTGACCAAACATTAATATCAGTTGTATGTACCTCGTCCATGCAGACAACAGCATATTTCCTAAATTTACGCTTCAACCAATCAGAAGGAGTACGTTGATGTATAGCTTGAATCTTACTATGGTACCATAGGTCATGATCTCAACACGATTACGATTAAGCCCGGTCTTTGACTCGACGCCATGGATCTTTCCGCCCCAACGATCAAGGACGGTCCAATCACGGACTTGGAATTTTGTAACATTTCCAAACTTATCTTTAACAGATGCAATACTAGTAATAACCTTAAATGCGTTAGCACAAGCTGTGGTCGTTGGAATTAACAGCAATACTGCTCGAGATTCTTTGATTGAGTCCAAATGATCGACCCATTTGTACATAGTTCATAATCGATTTGCCAACGCCCGTACTTCGATTGTCATGACAAATAGAGCCTGGTTGAGTGGCGAATAATTCGATTAAAAAATCAATATTCGATTCTGAAGTAATTAATAAAGGCATGGTAGCAGCATAATAAAATCCGGGACATTGACCACAACTAGATCTTTAAGATTAGCGCCAACTACACCGCGAGAAGAAGTTATTATGAGATTACCAGAATCTCCCTGCTGATAATAACCCGTCATTGTTAAAATTTTAGATTGTTTGCCGTTGTCATCAACAATTAGCTCATGAGTATATGCGGGCGTAATTCTACTGGTGCCAGTAAGAACAAGAACAAATTCATTACGCTTAGGCATAACTGTGTATATTGGCATGCCCTCACACACATGATACGGTATAGCTATATCTGCAAAATAATTATTACCGAAACCATTTTGCTGTATATAAGGTTCCATGGTTTTAACTTGCCATCAACAATACGAATGACTTCTAACTATTAAAAGTTGTTACGACTGCAAAAACTCCAGTATCCTCAATGGCACCTAACCAATTCTTCCAATCGAGTCTACGCTCTTCAGCAATAATAGAGGTTTCCTTAGAAAATGGATCCATACCTAACTTACTGCTTTGATCATCAACCAAAAGCGGTCGTAAGTTAACTGCATCACAGTTGGAATGGTGTTCTTAAGCTTCCAAGTAGATTACCAACAATAAATAATAAAAATAAAACGAAGCAGGTTTGGATTATATTAATAATTTGTTTTTCCAAACGTTTCTGCTCTACAAACATAGTGTGCCTAGCATCAGCATCAGCTGCTTTCAACCCTATCTTTAAGATAGTGATTGAATGGTTGGTTAGGGCTGTTAAAAAGCTTATGTGAGTCGGTCTTTGAGTCGGTTTTTGCTGAGTTGCTTTTAAGTCTGAGTTTAGGCTTGGGGAGGGACCGTCTCCCAATAGTCACATGATAGATCAGATACTAGATTAGAGTAACCATATACATATGCCAATTGTTTTTTCAAGAACGAATTGACATAAATGACGTTGTTTCGTACGTACAAACAAAAGATATTTTTGATAACATACACAGAACGATAATTACCAATACAGTTCAACAAAAATCTCTGGGTTCTACACCACCAATACTTCGTCTACTGCGCAGCCACCACAATACTTCGTAGATATAACATTACATGATACTGCATTTGTAGTAAGTCATTTTCATTATGTATTATCAATGAGTGTAGCATTTACTATACATGTATTAGAAAACAAAAGGCATTCAAATTAGGTAAGATTATTTATTATCAAGACAATTTAAAAAAAATCTCTGAAAAAAATGGTTAAAAGTATCCTATATCTTCTTTCCCCGTTTCTTTATGTCAAAATGTTTAGTTTCAGCTCATCGATACTCACATCTTCCACAAGTTTTCCAGTTCCTGCATTTTTCACAATTCCAAATCCATTACTAGTCTTTTAGCTGAGATATCTTTTGAAGATGTTTCAAGTTCTGTCAAAAGTGATAATAATCTTAGAAAAATTAGTATAAATTAGATAAATAAGTGTTATCATTATGCAAATAATATTTACATAGTTAAATAAATTTGTATTACAGGTACACATAAATAACATCATGTATGCTTAAGTTTGTCTTTTGGACTGAACCTCAATAAAAACTTAGCTGATCGAACTGAACCAGACTTTTAACAGCCTTATGGTTGATGATTTCTTCTAAAGCACTTTCAATAACATTATCTAAAAAATGATAAAAATTTTTTCTTATCTGTAACAAGCTTAATTGCAACTCAAAATTATTCTTATTTACATTATTTGGCAAGTATACATATAATTTATATAAACAAGATTTTGAAATAGTTCATCTTTGTAAATAGATAGCAACGACTTTTTTTGTTATCTACTTCACTTTGACTTACGTCTTGGATTTTTGATTTTGTTTTTAGAGCTATCTCTTTCAATTCTTCATTTTCGGAAGAAAACATTCGTCGAAAGATGTTTGATAATCCCTCGTGAAGTCTTGAATTATCAAATTTATTTTCATGGCAAAAGCCAAAGCTGTTGATAAAATCTGTTTTTTTCGATTAAAGATTGCATTTCAATATACATGTATCAATATTTTTTGGAAAAATTTAGCGATCCATTTTAACTCAATTAGCTATAACGATGATGTCGTCGTCGATTATCAATTTAATTTCCCCTACCAAGCGAGGCAACACTATACTTTAAGTATGAATTAAATGTATAGATTAATTAAAATCCAGTGCAGTTGTTTCGATTTTATATAATTAACTATATTCTGTTGCGTCGTTTCACGTGATCACTTTTGGCCTATCTCGCCAGCACTAACCCCTAACCACCCTAATTATTAACACTGAAGCAAATCATCACCTGAGGCACGACATATGCCGCTGGATTTATTTGAAAACATCAAATAAATTGCATTCAATTTGAAATAGATAATCATGTGATTAGGAACTCGTAAAAATTTGAGATTTTTTCATGTTGATACATATCGATCGATATACGTAATTCTCAAGGCCAAAATTTTAGTACACATAATTTTCAGCGTTGCCACTGGAACATTCCAGTGAGAGTCAAAATTAAAAATTCATTGAAATTAACTAGATAAATTTATACAATGATAACATATTGATACTTTTAATAGATTATTTGATGAGTGGAATCTTCCAGTAGCGTTCTAGTCAATATTAATTTTACTTCCAGTGACTTCCGGTGGGCTTCCAGTAACAACACTGGTCATATAATGATAACCAAAAGTGATTACAAGTTTCATTTCCATTTATCATTATAGTAAATTGTATCAAAGCCCTACCGGTACATGTGCATAATGGCATAATCTGTCATATCTAGTGTTGGCACATTGTCATTTTAAAATAAATAGCATCTTGTTATATGACAAGCCAATTTGTCCCAATAAAAATTTTATTTTAAAAGCAAACGATTATCGTTATCGTTATTTATAACGATACGGTATTAACTTAATTATTAAAAAATTGTCATTTTTATTATCATTTGACAAGTGTCATTTTCTTTATAATTTACTAATTACGCCGCAATTATGAAACATACAATTGAAAATCTATGTTCGTGCGTGTGTTTCAGACTTTTGTGTAACGGTAAGATACCGATACACAACTAAACAAGGAGCGTTTCAAAATTTATCGATAAAATATTTACACAAAAATTCGATTCTTGGGTGTTTTGTGTTGTTTTCCATATACATGTATATTGAAGAATTTTCAGTATGTTTCGAGTCCTTTCTACAAATAATAATATACATAATTAACCACAGAAATAAAAGCGTATTTCATGTGCAAATTCAAATTTCAACAACCTACAAACTAAACTCCCCCGCTATAATCTACTTCAATGATAGAATCCTCACTTCTAGGCACGTGCCACTGGTCAGCAACACCGAACTCATACATCAGTGACGTATTCGTCATCTCACTTAAGATTGATCTCGGTGATGAGTTTGGCGTAATTATATTACTAGTACTGGAGAGTTTGTTGTCGAGTATTGATGTTTTCGTGCTTTTGTCTTTTGGATGTTCTCTGATGACGCTGTGTAAAGGTCTCTTGAGCGTTGTGTAAATTGTGTTTTCAATATTCTTAGTACTTTGGTGGTGGTTATTGTTGGTTTCTTTTTTTTGTGTGTTCTGTAATTTAACCGTATTTTTTATTAAAAGTGAATCGGTTGGTTCGTAATAGAAGCACGGAAGGAGCAGAGCCGCCGAACGATGTGTTCCAAATATTAAAAGGAGGGATATTCCACTATTACAATTTCCGATATACGCAATTTATTTAATTTTTCAAAGCCAAGACATCCATTTGATAAAAACTTACATAATGCTCCCGGAATATTCAGCAATTGTGAGTTTTTCATTATCCGGAATATTGTCGGCACGCTTCAATACTCTTGGGACAGACGCGACCAAAAGGAGCGAGACATAAACAAGACTACAAACACAAAACCTAACAGCTTGTCCTAATCTTATCGCCCTTCCTCGACTTTGTTTTCGTGCAAATCTTCTCGTGTGTTTGACTACTAGAAAAATCGAACAAACTTTTCGTGGCACGAAAAACGATTTTTAGTAAGCGGGATGAGTGAAAAAAAGTTATTCAGCAAAAAATTATGAATTCTCTCACGAGCAAAAATTGTGGCAAAAAAAGTCATCACCATCGTCGGCACAAAAAACGCCAACCAATTCTGCTTAGAAGAAACCGATTTACAATACAACCGATGAACATCTACGTCCCAATTATCCACCCTACTTGCCAATCCCACTCTCACCGCTTGATAGATACTACTCAGTCCCCAAATAGCAATTGAAATCCACCGAAAATGTCTCTGCTCGATCGTCGAATCATTTCGCATAAGTGCATAACAAATAAAAAAAGTCATCACTGTGGCAAACAACTGTAACGGGAAAAAGAAGAATTGTCCGACTTTTTGCACGATTATGCACAGTGGGGTTTCAAATGCGCGCTCTCTTAGTTGATCACCATATAATGTTATAGGAAAAATATTTGGTAGCTGATTGAAAAATGAGGATACGCATAATTGAAAAAGTGTCCATTTTGTAAAGTATCCTTTTGATTTTACTATTTGCGTCATTAATAGTATTAATGCTAATGCACTTATTGATTCTAGAACAATGTATAATATTACAGGCGTTGAATATGTGGTCATAATAGATTTTGCTTGACGTATCAAGATAATAACGAAAAATTAAGAAGAAGATAATAGAGTTCAGAGAATTAACAAGACAATAAAGTTTTAGAGAAAAATGTTCAACTTTTGCCTACATGTATTTAACATATTCAGATTCGCAAACAATGTGTGAAATACATTTTGTAAAAGTTGTACAGACTGTCCATAACGATAATGATAACTGCCATTTTTATTACGTTCACTAACGCTAATACACAAAGATATGTACACGTACAACGATAACGATGACAGAAAAACCTTATTTATTTCTTTTTGTGCGTCTGTCAGATGATTGGTTATGGTGAGGTCGGTAATTTTATACTAACACTAAACCACGTTAGCTATACACTTCGTTCTTAGCCATGACCTTTTATAGCCAGGTTGAAAATTTCAAACAAGAGACGAATTTCTGACTTTTTCATTACCGTTACCTTCTTATTTTCGAGTGATGTGGATTCAATTGCATTAAATGAACAATTCTACGGAGGTTACGTACTTTTTACTATTATTCTGCAGTGTTGCAAATGACGAAAGAAAATACATGTATACATGTATTTTTCATTTCAATGACGATACGTAGTTTTTAAATTAAATATTAAAAATTGTATATACGTACATGTATTCTCTATTATCATTGTTACTGTTACATATTACGTACGTGTAATATTTTAAAAAAATAAATGGGGGTTTTTTAGCGTTAAGATATGTAACGATAACAAGTTTTACGTACCTAACTGCAACAACACTGTGATGTTCTTTAGAATGTAAGTGCATATCGATATGTACGGCATATATGTAGTACACGTACGTGTACATGTATTTATCGTTATGTATGACAAGAATTCTATTGTAGAGTTCAGAATTTTTAGATATGCGTACGTAATAACGATAATACAGAATAATTTTACGAGCAAAAGGCGTACTTCACAAAGTGTACACTTTTCCGATTATACATACCGACGTTCTTTTACCATCTCCCCAATTTTCATATATGCGATGATATATGATTGGTCAATTTTCTATTTGCCATTTGCTACGCTTCCGTGGCATGGGTGTGTGAGAAACGATATCGATTTTGGGATAGAGAGGTGGGATTTGGCGTGTGAATTTTGTGTATTTGATGGGTAAGTGCGGATGAGCAAGTAAATCGGCAAATGATAGCTGGCTATTTGCGTTGATACTGATAGTTATGTTTTGTGTGACTTTACAACTTTGCCATGTTATTAACTTTAGTAACGGTAATGTATCGTTCATAAATCAAGTACATGTAGATGTATTGCATTTCGCAGTGTTCATTTAGCGTTGCGTAGACAGAAAGACTTTACAACATTAAGTTTAAAGTCCCGCTACGTATAAATGCTCATGTTCATATGCAGACAGTATCGGTATTATTTTTTTGGAATCAAAAAAGGATTGATCACGAAAAAAATATTTTTATGCGTGGATGAAACCACACAACAACGAAGACATCAAAAATACACTACGACTAAACACCGTCACCAAAACATTGAATTGCAACAACACATAAACTTTTTCAAGTCAAACAGGAATTAAAAATTAGTATTTCATGCTTGAGAGAGCATTTATATGTGCGCATACACACAAACATACACATCGATATATAAAATGCTGTCATTTTTATAAATTGTAGTAGCATTATAAATTTGAATTGTTTCATCATTATTAATCATAGCATTAGTTATAAGTTGTTACTTTATTATAGAGAAAGTCATTCAAATTTGCCATAAAAAGAATAATTAAAGTTAGAGTTTCCTTATCTATATGTATAAGTTTAAATGCTGTGTCCAAAAAGTATCTCTCTATTGTTATTTATTATATGCATGACATCTTTTAAATCCCTTAACGTTAAATAAATTATCATTGAAAATCTATATACATGATGTAATGTATACAATCGCACCCCTCCATATTCCTTAAGTGGTATATATTGTAACCATATTAAAATTACACTTCGCTTAATGCATACTCTTAAAACAGGCATTTATAAGAGTACATGTATTATTCTACGTAATACATGTATAATAAATCTTTTATATTATACTCTAAAAATCCGCGACAATAAGCGAAGGGTTGGGTTATGAAAATTTCGATGAGGCATACTAAGAATTTGACATATATTCTCGCCGATTTTTGAAATGTCGTCTTCTTTCGCAGTCCCGTTCTCAACACAGTAACCGATACTCAATCTCTGAAACCGCTTATTGTTAAATTGCAGCAGACGACTTTAATCGATCTTTATACCACAATGGAAATACCTATTGGAACAGTATACCAACTAATCATTCTTCACAATCGAATACAAATAACGAACAAGAACATTGACCAATTTTCTGAAAACCAAAGTCTTGTGTCGAATGTTTGTTCTTTTAGGTTACGCTAAAACCGGCAAAAGACGAGATTGTTGCCGAGATACATGTTTTGGGTCATTGTCCATTGCGTGAAATGGAAAATAGTGCAAGCTCTAAAGATTCTGTGATGATGATTAAGTATATCGGCATTTTTTTATTTATTTGTCATTTCCTAAAAAAAATTAACATGTTATCAACTAATCTGATTTCACAACCGGGGTGTTAACTATTTAACTAGCAAAAATTACCGAACTGAATCGTTTTGGGAGTCAAATTAGCTCATATCGATATGATTACTATGGAGAACAATTGGTGCAAGTCATCTATAATTAGTTTTAAAGTTTTATCCATCTAAATTAGGAAGCAGGTCAAAATTTGATCCATCGGAATAATCAAGAAAGTTCTATTCTAAGAATATGTAGTCCATTGACAACACACTTTTTAATGAGACTCAATGGACCAAGTCCATTGATAACGGAAATATATGCAAGCTGCGCTTCAATGGGACATGGACCAAAGTCCATTGGTTCAGTACAATTACAAGACTTGGTCCATTGAAACAATAATTCTAACAGATTAAATTTTGGATTTATTTACTAATTAAATTTAAAACTGATTATAGATGACTTGCACCATATCGATGTTAAAACTCATTGATTTTATGCATATTTAAGTGAGTGAATTAATCGATAATAATCAGTGTGATGAGAATGGCTAATTATTGTTCCAGATACATGAATTTATAAATATAGTCCATCATTTTTTGCTCGTTTGCATATGGCATAATTTATCTTTGTAAAGAGTATTAGCATTAAAAAGTAGGACAAGTAAATTTATGAATTCATTTGTATAATCGAAATTATTCAAGTTAAACCAAAAACCAATAGAGTTTGGCTTAGTACTGATAATTTAGTAGCTTGAGTCAATGGCAGAAATAGTCCAGTAATCTAGCTTCATTAAGAAACTGGCTCCTAAATTGAGAGACTCCCGAGCTATCCAACTATTATCATTATCGTTATCGTCAGTATTGGAACGCTGAACGTATTTACTTCGATATACGATACTTATAACATAATCTAAGGAGCTAATAGGCTATCAACTAATTGGTTAAACAACAAACCCTACATTTTTAACTTGGTTTTAAACTGGTTCTGAAGAATAAGTTCTACAAAAAAGAATGATTTGATGAATTAGTATACTGGTTATAATTAATCAATACCACGTGAAAAATATTGGTAATTTCGGTAGATTCGTTCGATTTCGGTCCGATAATTGGTAGTTACCGGATTATTACTGATAATCTCAGGTCTCATCGTTTTTTAAATAATAAAACACTACCCAAGATGTTATCTAAAATTTCGAATACTCATGATTGTAGCGGTAGTACTGTACATGTAAATGTGTGCTCGTTGTCAAGTACGTATGGAAACACTGTGATAAGTGTTCAGTTCACAATACTCATGATTGTAGTACATGTATATGTACATGTACTTGTCAAAAAAATAAGTCCTGTTAACCATGCATTTTGTATCACAAACAAATTTATGAATGGTCTAGTGGGAAATAACGACATCGACAGTCTAATAAATGAATACAAAGAAATTATTACACAATTCAAAGCAAATTGCATCCGAGTTTATAAACGAGGTAAAATGGACACTTTAAAAGTGTAAGCATATTGCTTTTTTGTTTTTCAATATATTTAACTTTTTCAAAATTAGATTCAGACTGTTCTAAAGTGCACTCGTTCTGAAGAAATAAGGTATTATGGAATAACTAAAAACCCAGCTACAAATGCATACTCGATAGTGATGACTTATGCAAACCAGAAATTAACTCGGCAAAAGAAATTAAATTACATGTATTAATTAATATTATCAATAATTTGGATAAAATTCACAATGCGGAATTTGTGCATCGTGACTTTTATCTTGATACAGCATAAATCTGCTTGCATTGCTGATTTTGGACTTACCAAACCAGCAGATATAGAAAAATCTGATCAAGAAATTTGCGGCGTACTTCCTTATATGAGTCCAGAGATACTAAATGGAAAACCATATACATAGGCTGCAGATACTTATAGTTTGGGATGATTACGTACGAGGTTGCCACAGGTGAACGACCATTCGGTGAACGGAGTTATGGTAAAAATCTCGTATTAGATATTTATAATGGAGTACGACCTACGATACCAAATAATCTTCCCGGATTGTACAAATTTATTATTGAAAAATGTTGGGATCCTATTATAAAAAAATAGACCAACTGCTAAGGAACTTTAAAATTTACCCAATTAACAAAACTGACGAGTTCCTTCAGAGAGTGTGGAAACTGAACACTGCATTTTCAATACTACAACACTTTAGAATCTCCTAAGACACGCGAAGAAATTACGTAGTGAGTGTCTTAAATTAGAAAAGCAGAAATTATATGAGGAAATGGAATTCTTGTTCTTCAGAAGCGGAAGAGCGCTGCTTGAAACTAGTTGGTTTCTTGTGGTGTTTATGCTGGTGACAAGAATTTGTGTCGTCTGAGTCTTCATCCCTTTTTTGTTTTTTTGAAGATATTATTATTTTCAGTAATTGTTGAACCACATGATTAGTGTTATCTTTTGAATTACCCACTGTGGAAGTTGACGATATAGATTCTGTATTAAAAGTTTTTTTTAAGGGAAGCCATATCCATTTTTTTAAATATTAAATAAAATTACGTAAATTCTCAATAATGATAGTGGACTTTTAGAATTAAATTATCATGCATACGTGTACACACACAAATGGAAGGTAAATTTGGTCATTTATGCATAAGGATAACGATTATCGGTTACTGATCCCGTGCAATTGGTAGATCCGTTTAAGCCATGTACATGTACATCCGAATTGAAATTCAGAACTTTGCCGCCCGCTGTAACTGTAGCCCGGCACATGATAATAATTAAAGATTAATTTTAGGGTTAGGGTTGGGGTATAATGAGTGTTTTATTAATGTAAATTTCCTCACTGTTGTTTTTATTAGTGCTCCAAGTTAATATTTTTCGCATCTTTCATTTTCTGATGTCGGATTTGTTTTGCCAGGCAATGTGCACATTTATTACGTATTCTGATTAGGCCATGCATGCAGTACCCATCGCTACTTTCACACGATAATCACTAACGCTAAACTCAAATTTCAATTAGAGCTGTAAATAACTGTAAATGTAACGACTTTCGGAATTATTATAGCTTAAAAATCATCAAAAAAAGATATGATGGAATAAAATACTAGATATTTTCAGGATAAAGTATGTTTAATTATAGCGACTATTATGCAAGTTACATGCAAAAGTATATTTACAATCGAAAATACAAAGGAGACTACCAGTGGAATTACACAAGTGACCACATTGTATAAGTCATCCAATAACGGCAACAGAATGTTTTGGTGAATCCAGGTTCGAAAATTTAAATAAGCAACGAAAATGATCGGAAATAGTGTGTTAAGAAGTGCATCAAACACATCTGGGCTAGATGAGTAATTTTCGTCGACAATGGACGCTGCTACAAGTGGAACGAGTGAAAAAAGCAATTTTCCAGAAGGCAAAACACAAGGAACTTGATTTTCCTTTAAGACTCTTTCAACAGCATAGGATGTAACCCCATTTCTGAGTCTGGTAATGCTGTGTGACCTCGTTAGCTTTTTTAGTTGAATTGAGAAGGAATATATCCTTTGAAGAAGAGAATTGATCTTGTTGAATAATGGGATAAATTTTCGCACATGAAACTTATTATATATAGACTATGAGCAATTATTTTCTGAAATTATGTTACGTCTCACAGGTATTGCCAATTACTTAACAAAAATATCATTCTAATGAATTTATTTTTTGTCAATTGATCTCATTTGATGTCAGCAGAGGGTGGAGATTTAGTGGACAAGCTAGTTTCGGTTATTGTTGTTATGAAGGAATTTGAATGTTATAGACCAATTTTATCTTGTTTGTTGCTATGAAGAAAGTGTAGGAACTCAAGTGGTATTTGAAATCAGCAGAGGATGAAATGTTAGTAGACAATACACTCTCGGCCGTATGAGAACTCAAGAAGACAAGGAAAAAGTAATTTATATAAAAGTTTTCAATTTTACTAATCAATAGTTTTTATGTTTATACATTTTAGCATATATATTTTTTGATTTAATCTGAAAACTTATGGTAAATATGGATTATTATTTGGATTTTTTTGTATAAACATAAAAATTATTAATTATGGTGCATAACATATAAAGTCATCAAACATTTATATTTTATAAATGGATAAACTTCTTTAATAATAAGTAAATACAAAATTTAATCCGTGAATATGCTCAGAAAGAGCCAATTCTATCATATTCACGGATTCAATTTTGTATTTACTTCTTATTAAAGAAGTTTATCCATTTTATAAAATATAAACGTTTGATGACTTTAGATGTTATGCACCATAGTAAAATTGAAAACTTATATACACAGTACGAGTCACTTAGTTACCACACAAAAAAAATTAACTTCAAATTATATCAGAGCCCTCAAAATAATTCAGAAAATTAGAAAATACGTAAATCAATAGTTTATTGACTACTCTATAACATCACGTATTTTTTTGACTGGAAAAGTTCAGATTGTTGAGTTTATAGGTCTTAAAGATTTGGCCAATTGTGGTAACTAAGTGACCTGCACTGTAGAAGAAAACCGGCATTCTATAATTTCGATACTGTTGCATTTCTTTGATTGCCACTGTTATATGCAAATAATCAATATATGATTAATGCTATTCGATCATGATATCAGTATCAGAAGGTGGTGAGAATTCTTTATGATGCTAGCAAAGGTTATTATTCAGATATTTTTACATAATTCTTTATTGCTGAAAAATTTTATCACAGTATAACTGTTGTGCTATATGATTAATTGATTCAGTGACATCACCCATATGATTGCTCCTTATTAATTGAAATAATCAGCATTGATTAGTCATCTTTGACCTTATATTTTTAAATGAATTCTATTTAAAAGATAAAACTAAATATAAAAGAGACAATTCTCTGCGATATTTTTTTCTTTCTTCCATCTCTGGTTAACAAAGAATCAATTAAATAATATTCTAATAAGCATAAAACAAACACCTCAAAATGACTAAAAATTCTAATCTCTTCTTGATTATCGCTTTAATTTTGGTTTATTCTCATCCTCTACTGGAGCTTCAACGACAATTCTTAAAAAGCGCGACAGTTGGCCACAAGTCTCAGCATGTGCAACTTATAAAATTGATCCAGAATGTTTTCTTTTCGGTGAATTCACTTTTACACAACTTCCATCAAAATCACTCGTATGAGTGGACAAATAAACACCGGATTCAATAATTCAGATTCTTCTGTCTACAATTCGAAATTCATTCAACGAAAAATAGTCCATCTACTCCGATCAAAGTTTTGAAGCCGAGATTCACAGTCAATGTACCACTAGGTGGAAGTTCTCCTATTCAATTGGATGTATACGACATTGCTCTTCAATCCGATTTAGATTCTGGCGTGAAAAATGTTCTTGACGCTTGGTTTAGAATTTCTGATCCTAGTACTTTCTTGTGCAGCGCTCTAATTGCTCCTTCGTAGTAATGCAATTTTAAGTAATTTAAATTGTTTAATTTGTATTTTAATTACTTATTTCTCAATTTTAGACTTGATGTCTTATAATTACTGTAGCTTTATTATGTCATTCGAATTTCTTGTATACATATACGTTGGCCTATCTATGTATAAACAAATTTTTATAATTTCAAAATTTATTATATTCTTCCATAAAACTTCAATGCTGATGTTTTCACAAACTTTAATTATATGATAATTGTCATTTTTTAAATACAGTAATTTACGCATGTATTTATGGTAAAATGAGATACGTAGTTTGATCGGTTCAAATATACATTAAATGCCTTCATTTGCAAAATGTTCATATATAAAATCCGAGCAAATGTATTTAAAAGAGAAGTATAAATAGTTATTTAATAAATTACTCATTTTTTATCTAAATAAAAATCGGATTATTGCCCTGCTTAGAGTGTTGACAAATAACATTCAAATGGCGCTAAATGACACTTATTTTATTATAAATTTCAAATGCCAAATGACAAAATCATTTGTAAATTAGCAAATGACTATGTTATTTGTGTACACTGTCGCTTAGAGACATATCAAAGTAATGTAAAATGCCCAAATATACTGTTAATATTTATTTATTTTAAGCCAGTAACTTTTATATTTTCAAAGCAAAGGTGCGAGCATATCTCGATATACGAATTTTTTTATAATCATTAATAAACTTAAACTCGATATAGTGAAGTTATATAATATTTCTTTACCCCGATGTCTTTTCACTATAACGAGGTTTAAGTGTAGATTCATCGAACTCACAATTGTGTATCTTTATCATGTAGAATTAAACGAAAGGAAATTGTAACAGTAACTATCAATTCTACACAAAACTGCTCTTAAAAACGACATATTCTCAGTATTAGCCGTTTTCGAGTAATTCGGGTTTGCATACGTATGGTGCATAACATCTAAAGTCATCAAACGTTTATATTTTATAAAATGGATAAACTTCTTTAATAAGAAGTAAATACAAAATTGAATCCGTGAATATGATAGAATTGGCTCTTTCTGAGCATATTCACGGATTAAATTTTATATTTACTTCTGATTAAAGAAGTTTATCTATCCATTTTATAAAATACAAATGTTTGACGACTTTAGATGTTATGCACCATATAAAAATTAAAATTCAGTGAGCCAATTTAAACATAATTAATTCGTCTTGATATGCTTAGTCGAATAGTAGTAAATTTGGTTGAATTGGCTACTACATAGTTCACAAGATATCGCGTAAAAACGTTAAGTTTTATTTTAAAATCGGAGAAAACCGGAATTCTTTAAAATGGGAAATAAACTTGAATATTAAAATATAGAAAAATCGCAATATCTTTATATAGAACTGTTTGAGTATTATAACAAAAAAAATGTAAAATAGTATAGTGCTAAAAAGCATACAAGCCATATAAGTAAAAAGATAAGAGGTTCAATTCCAAAGTTTATAAAAAACGAAGTTAAATAAATGAAAAAATGGTAAACCAAATCAAAACCGAAATTTTCCGAAATAAATAACCGGAATTTTCTGGAGCAAAAATCGGAACTCGATATTTTATAGGGGCATTTTTTTCGGAATGTAAATAAATAAGTGAAATAACTTAATTACAGAACTCATAAAAATAAGGTTTGTATAATTAATCCAACGTTGATACCAGGAATTAATAAGAATCCAATTTGTTTTCTGCAATTAGAGTCTTTAATTAAGAGTGCCAATTATCATATATATTGTGCTAATGATACAAACCACTTGTTCTTATCATTTTGCGGAATAAGTGAGTTTCTAATTCAATGTATTATTAGAAACCCAATAAAAACCATTGGAAATTTATAATTTCTCAGATAATCACGCTGTCATGAAATTTGATTGAGTGCATTAAATTATGGTTAATTTTAGCTAAGCCATTATTTGATCAATAGCTGCCAATTAATGATACCTGACGAAATTATTTTCATGATGACGAAACATTTCGTCACGTCATTCGTGACGAGTGACGAAACTAGTGACGATTGACGAAACAAGTGACGAAACCTTCTGACCAATCAAAATAATAGCTAAAATCACATATACAAATATACGTATTCCGAATTTTAAAAGAATGTTACATCACGATTGATTGGCTGAAGGTCATAAACGATCAAAATTATGCTGAATTTTGGCTAACATTACAAAAAGTGTATAATTTTAAATATATATCTCTGGTAAAAAATAAACCAATAAATCGATAAAGCTTGACTTGACCTATTGTTTTTATGGTTTAGTTTGCCAAAATTGTCATTCGTCAGACGATTTGTCATCCG